TTCAGTTTTGAGACAGTTTTGCTGCAAAAAGCTAAATTTCTTTATTTCGCCGATCGCTTTTGTAGGCCGACGCTTCTGTCTCTGTAATTTTAGAAAATTCGGAAGTGATATTTCGCGAGGCGCATTTTGTTTTGAGAGTACAGATCTAGACCTTGGAATTTTTTGCATCTCTCAAGATTTATTGCCCCATTCCAGTAGAGTATAAATATAGTAGGCTAATGACTTTTAGTTGATTTTAAAGCACCGATCATTCCTTTCATCGAAAGGGGCCCCAGCTTGTTTTATATAATTTAAGAAAGGGGAAGTCGAAATGAAAAAAGATGACAAAATCGTTAGAGTCTGGCTCAGGTTGTGTGTCTGCCAAACTAGGTCAGAGAAAACAGTCAACAACACACATGCACTGTGTTGATATGGGCGTTAAACCAATACCGTTTCACTTTTTCACACGCATGCTATGATATCCATGCAAGTTTGTGTTTCTTAACCCTATCTGTACGTAGTGTTTAACTATCGTATCCATACGACGTGGGGAACGAAATCTGTGCCACCACTTTCCAAAGAGGAAATTTACTCGTTAATCTGATCCGTACGCTTAGCGTAAAAATCTCTCAAAATTATTTTTTTGGAGAAATACTGAAAGTTTCCAAGAGATCTTCGTACTAGAAGTATTCTAAAATGTGAAGAATACAACCCCGGAGGTAGAAAATGACCCCGGGGCGTACGAATAGGGTTAATTAATTGTTTATTGTAGTTGTAACAATATTACAAAAGTATACGTTTAGTCAACTGATAATCGGGTATAATATCACGTAGATATATCTGTTACGCCCCCAAAGAGTTACACACGTTCACTTACGCCGGTTTAAATCGCAATATATTTACACTGAATTTTAATATTTTAGCATTTTAAAGTCAAATAGTTAACCAATCGTACAGTGAACCTTTGCGAAAGTAAACAACTTGTGTTTCGCGCGCTCATATGACCGTAGCAGTTGCGAGCGCCGTAAAACCCTATACTACTAATACTACTACTACTTACGCCGGTGCAAGATCCAGATGGTTCACGGTGTAGCCGGAGCGGTTCAGACCCATGAATCCCACACACAGACAGAGCAACACCACCGCCCAGTACCTCTGATCACACGTCATCTGGCCAGCCAGCACGATGCAAACAGCGGAGCCCCAGAATGCTGGGGAGGGCAGAAGTCACGTTCAATGTGTGTCATGGGCTATAGTAATTTTGTTAAGCGAAATCTCCTTCAAATATCAGAACAGTTGGTCATTTTACACCAAGATGACGCTTTTGAGAGAATTCTTCTTCCATCATGGCAATGAATATTTCTTCTTATGAGTGAGTCCTTCAAGCTTGGCTCAACATTTTTTTTCGTTGGTGGATGCTTTAATTGTATGGGTTGAAACGTAATATCATCACAGAACGATTTGTGTAATCCAGAACACGAAAAAGTGACTTTTGAACAACAGAGACAAACCATTGGGTATATGTAATGTAAATGGAGAATGATGTTTGTCTCCGCTCACAAGCAAGCTCTGACTGCTATACAATGTACTGTACATCATACCAGAAAAATTCCTCCTCGACTTTCCGTGAAGCGTACAGACGCCAGCTGCACAAAATGCGGTGTTTATGGTGCTTTTTGGTGCGTACTGTTTTTTAATAAAGAAAAGAAATAAATAGAGAGAATGAGGGGAAGAGGAAGACAGAGAAAACAACATGCACATATGCTAGAGACACCGGCTTCCCTTAGTCTATCCATTGTGTGTGAAGTGGTGCCTTCATTATCTCTGTGGTCGTTGAACCACGCTGCCAATGCTGCCATGACTGTTGGTGGATCATATGCCACCAACGACTTTTGGACAAACAGCACAATGGGGAAAAAACCGAGATGATTAGGAAAGAGTGTCAACAAGAAAAAGTGGGGCACCAGGGTCGTCAAGGTCTGTCCCTGGCATGACGCCTGGAGAAAAAAGATAATAAAAAGGAACATCATTATATTCCCACTACCCTAATACAATGTATAGAAAAGTGGGAAGACATGGAAAAACATCAAGAGGCTAGCCTGGAATAGAGAAAGGTGGAAAGTGTTTGTTCGTGCCCTACACCCTGGTGCAGGGAGAGAAAGTGTTTGTCCGTGGCCTATACCCCAGTGCAGGGTGAGAAAGGCAATGATAATGACGATGACCCTAACATAACCATAATTAATATTCAGACACAGAGAAAAATAGGTCATGACGTGTCTCTCACAGATAGCCTGGAAAGATCTCCTCACGACTCTGGTGGACATGACGCCTCTCTGTCTCAACTTGTCCGCCACCACACCGCCAGCCAGTGACGTCACAAACTGGGTCAGGTACGGGGCGGAGGACAGAAAGCCGTTCTGAGGAACAGAGAAGCCAGATTGATCATCATCTCAGCTTTGAAAAAAAACACCCACCTGCGCTGAATAAAAGTCGAAATATTTGCGATTGAAGGAGGTGAGGGTCGCCTGGTTTCAGAGGTAAAATTATCTTGAAAATGGCGCCTAAGTTTGTGAAGGTGAGAAAAGATGAAGATAAATCAGACGACATGTGTAAAGGGGGAAGGGGGGGGGGGTAATAATAGTACGATAAGATTATAAACGATTGTGATAATATTGTGGTGAGGCAAATCGATAACTTGAAAAATCGTTTAGGAATCTGATAACACGACGAATTGTTAGTGAGAGTGTGAGTTATTTAATTCTTATTGTTGTTGTTGTTGCTGTTGTTGTTGCTATCATTGTTGATGTTGTTGGTATTGTTGGTTGCTTGGAAAAGACACAGCAGACATTATTAATACTTTTAATGATCCTGTGTGTGAAGCTACAGAGCCGGGTCTCTTGTGGAGACCGGTCATGTGTGTTCAACTTGTTAGATATATGTGCACATACCTTTACGGTTCTATGGCTTCCTGGAGAAAATAATTGTAAATGTAAATGTCTGCCCTCTATGAAACACACATTAAATCAGTGAAAAAACGTATTAGCTGATCTTTCATATTTGGGAAACAGAAAGTTGATTTTTAAGGGATGCCATTTTTTTCTTCAAGTTAAACATGTCTTTTATCATTTCATATAATAAATCGTACAAACCCAACCTATACATTCCACGTATCTATCTGTGTCCGTAGGGGTAAAATCCGAGACTTCATTCATTTTGTCAGCACACCCTACAAATTACTTTGACCAAATCTACATGGTTGTGTGAGTTGGTTTATGTTCGGTTCACCTGACTGATGTCAAACTTGAGGCTCTCCTTCATGAAGGTGGGCAGAGAGGTGAGCAGGGTGTAGTTGATGTAGTTGTTGCAGAAGTGGGCGATGATGATGGCCCACAGTGGACCAGACCGGAACATGCTCAGCCAGGGAACTTTCAACACCTGGTCGATGATGAGGCCAACGAGGAAAGAGAAGAAAAGGATTTTTAGTTTTAGTAAGAGCTTTACGACAGCCACAGCACAAAAAGGTCATATAAGTGCCGAGAATAGATGTGTTACAAAAGAGTTACGTAAACAAAAGAAAGGAGGAGAGATAAGGACGATATATGTTAGATAGGAAAGAAAAAGAAAACCACATCAGAGCGCCCGCCAACCACCCACAGAAAAGGGTTTTTAAAAACCCAACAAAACGACAACAGATAAACACATTGAAAAAGGCGAGAGTTTTCGCAGGTATGTGTGCACAGGCGGGACAGAACAGGATACGACAGGTTGGGGGGGGGGGAGGGGAGAAGGATATAAAGAACAAGACAAAAAAATGACAACAAAGAACGAAGAAAAGTGGAGCAATGGAAAAAGAACGGAAAAGGATGGACAGGGGATAGAATTTGAAGCAGAAAAAAATAACGAAAGGAAGAGAGCAGGAAGAAAGTGGAAACCGACGAAACACGTGCAAGCTAAATAAAAGAAAAGCAATAACACAAACTAGAAGAGAATATCTTGCCTAAATATTTGATTGCTTTCCATGGCAATGAATGTATTAATTTCGCGCTTATTAAATCGATTTAAAGGGTGCAATCAGCCAGCATTGGCTTAACCAAACAATTTATTCAAACACACGACTTGCGCATCTGACAACCGCAATATTATGCACTGCTTAACCCCCCCCCCCTTACAAACGCACACACACACACACCCACACACACAAACGCACACACACACACACATACATACACACACACACACACACACACACACACACACACACACACACACACACACACACACACACACACGCACACACACACCCACCCACATACATACACACACACACACACACGCACACACGCACACACACGCACACACGTACACACACACGTACCCATACATGCTCTAACACCCACATACACACCCACCCCTCACACACCTATACAACCCCCCCCCCCTCAATACACATAAACTAAGAAAGACAATACACGTGTGGATATCATTTTAAAAGAGAGGGCACGTTATTGAAAGAAATACAATGTAGACCTATTGTTAAATCTAATTAATACGCTGGAACTTCAGACTTCAACATAAGTTAGAGACCACTTGCAAATTTGGCCAAAATTCCCTTAGGATTTCCGTGCTGCACGTAATGGTTTTGCCCCTTTAGGAAGCTTTGCAGTACGCATTGGTAACCCATTAACACTTTCAGAGCAAATAATTTTGAATCATTCCTTGGTGTCTTTTTTCGGATTAAAAAAAACCCAGGGCTGTCTGTCAAGGCGGTCCTTAACTTACGTTGAAGTTTGTAGGACAATAACACATGTACCTTCGCCACAGAGCTCTTTCCAATACTGGTTTCAATATAATTCTGTTCTCGAGCGCTGATTCTCTTGTGTTTGGCGGGAGTGTCTGAGGTCACTGGGAACCAGGCCATGACCCACAGCAGGTAAAACAAACCTGGCAAACAGTCATTGGCAACAGTAATTGGCAACAGTCATTGACAATAGCAATAATTGATTATGAAGACCAAGAAAGACCTGGATCGGGGTGTGAAGGATACCCTGAGAACATACAATATCCCACCCAGCCAGGCCATCAAACTTGCTAGAGACAGGAATCTCTTTCTCCCCTCGACGCCCTAGAGGTACAAGAGGACGGAGAAAGTGAAGTAAAGTAAGCCCTAGAGGTACAAGAGGACGGAGAAAGTGAAGTAAAGTAAGCCCTAGAGGTACAAGAGGACGGAGAAAGTAAAGTAAAGTAAGCCCTAGAGGTACAAGAGGACGGATAAAGTAAAGTAAAGTAAGCCCTAGAGGTACAAGAGGACGGATAAAGTAAAATAAAGTAAGCCCTAGAGGTACAAGAGGACGAAGAGAGTAAAGTAAAGTAAGCCCTAGAGGTACAAGAGGACGGATAGAGTAAAGTAAAGTAAGCCCTAGAGGTACCAGAGGACGGAGAGAGTAAAGTAAAGTAAGCCCTAGAGGTACCAGATGACGGATAGAGTTAAGTAAAGTAAGCCCTAGAGGTACAAGAGGACGGAGAGAGTAAAGTAAAGTAAGCCCTAGAGGTACAAGAGGACGGAGAGAGTAAACTAAGGTAAGCCCTAGAGGTACAAGAGGACGGAGAGAGTAAACTAAGGTAAGCCCTAGAGGTACAAGAGGACGGAGAAAGTAAAGTCAAGTAAGCCCTAGAGGTACAAGAGGACGGAGAAAGTCAAGTAAAGTAAGCCCTAGAGGTACAAGAGGACGGAGAAAGTCAAGTAAAGTAAGCCCTAGAGGTACAAGAGGACGGAGAAAGGAAAGTAAAGTAAGCCCTAGAGGTACAAGAGGACGGAGAAAGTAAAGTAAAGTAAGCCCTAGAGGTACAAGAGGACGGAGAAAGTGCAGTAAGTAAGTAATAATTGATCAAATCCCATGGACAGCTAGAAAAACTAAAAAAGAAGTTTTGGTTGAAGCAAATTGCAGACAAAAGCTCATGACGATTATACGAAAGCGACAGGTAAATTTCATTGAACGCACAATACGGAAAGAAGCATATGAAAATATTGTCACAACAGGCTTGTTTGAATAAAAGAGAGGCAAAGGCCGACAGAGGGAAAAGATACTGGACAAGTTGACAACACGGCTGGGAACAGCAAGAACAGACACATTCGCTGCAACGCACGACAGAGTGAAGTGGAGGTCCACGATCGCCCACGCCAGTCTTAAGCATAACAGTTACCTCCATTTTTGCTCAGTTTACCTAACTTACAAATATCTTGCACCAAGTTGGGACATGAATAATAATTGTTAAAAAGGAAACTTTCACCACGTAAATACAACTCTTTTGTAGTCATTTTCCTTTAAAAAATCTGGTGCTCCCAACATGGTGAAGCGAAAGTCATACCTCACAGATTGAGCAATCAAGAACATAAATCAGTATTGAGTATATTATAACAAAAGACAAGATTACCTGAGAGATAAAAGATGGAGCCCCAGCCATTGTCGAAGCCATGGGTACACAGCACTCCGGATATAGAAAACGTGAAGATGTTGCCCAAGAGAGGACCTGTGGAACAGGAAGAGGAAAAGGAGGAGACGAGGGCGAAGGAGGAGGAGGAGGAGGAAGTGGAGGAGGA